TCAAAAATTTGAAACTTTAAATGTTTATATCTAATAAACGAATTAAGTTATATTAAAAATTCAAATGCCATTTACTATTAAATTAAAAACTCAAACAGTTTATTAAATTAATAATATGTGTTACCATTTAAAAAAACAAAGTTGACCCCCTTACAAGGCATAAGGGATGAACTTAAAAAGTATTACATAGTTAAAAATTCAAGAATAATGTGTAACTAAAGATAATAAAAAAAAAAAATGTTTAAATTATTATTATTCTGCAAGTAATTGAGTGGGTTATGATAAAAAAATCACCCTGTATATAATTAAAAGAATTACTAATCTGGGTATAATTAAGGAAATAGAAGTTGATGTTGCTTTTGTAATTATCCATCAATTTTTTTAAATTAAACACTATCTACAGACTTGCATTGAAGCGTTTTTTATGATAGTGATTTTAATCACTGTCAGATATCATCTATACTGGACCCAACTATACCACGACTCCACTGTGCCGCCACTCCACTGTGCTGGGTTTTTTTTAAATTAAATATGTAGTAAACATAAAAATGTATTCATGAAGTAATTGTTGTGTTCAAAACAGCACATGTTATCTTCTCTGTATCAGTCGGCATTGATAACGTGTACCGGTTGAACACGGAGGTAGTGGTGATAATATTTGACCGTGAAAGTATATGGCGGCCTTTGACAATACCGAGCCAAATATGTTTCACGGTCAATCAGTCTGTCGGCTGATTAGCTACGGTGGACATTTGTTAATGTGTCTGTGCGCTATATGGTATTATAACACCCGTTTACGTAATCGACGTACGCGTGTTTTTTTGTTCTTTGTTACCATATTGTTGTTATCCGGCCTATTGTATATAGCCGTGAAAGACTTGTTTAAGAGTTGTGGTCTTATTAAGTTTGGAGTTATTAACGCGTTAAATCCTGTTATAATATTTGTTGATATTATTAAACAACACACTGGGTACAGTAATATTATTTAAGATAACAGTTTAATGTATTTTTACTTATGTTAGTATAGTACAAGCTCAAAGGGACACATTCCTTTTACGATTATGTTGTTTTACTCAATGCAGCCTATTGTATACATGTTTACAGTTTAGTGGTAGTTTCACCGTCTATCGAGTAAAGTGACCCGTTGCCGTTGTACATCTCTTATATTATATGTTTTAACATTTTATATTAAATACTATTATATTACGAATAATTTCTAAATCTTTTAATTACATAACCTATTCCATTCAACAGGTTATGGGCCCAGTACCCAGTACTCAATATTTAGATGTTTTTTTAGTAATATAATTAATCGTGAAATTTAAAGTACGTTCGCGTAGTTAGTGCGTAGATCGTGTTAAATATTATTGTAATTTTTTATTGTGTGCAGACAGTGTACAAGAAATTCGTTATCATGGAAAACGAATCTATAAAAATTAACAAACTAAACGGCAGTGAAAATTGGGCAAAATGGAAATTTCAAATGACGGTAATATTAAAATCATATGATGTGTTGTTCTCTGTAATAGATGGAAGTTATGAATATCCAATTCAAATTATAAAACATGATACAGAAACAGACACAGAGGCACAATTGCGTTTAGAACAAGTGCAGCAAAAATGGTTAATGACAGATGCTAAGGCTCAACGTTTTATAGTTATGTCAGTAGATGAGCAGTCATTAGATTATATAATGAACTGTGACACAGCGAAAGGTATGTGGAATAAATTATTGAGTGTATATGAACAAAAGTCTGATACATCAATTACATTAATTCAGCAAAAATTTTATAGTTATGTTATGGATAAAAATGATAATATGGCACAACATATATCAAAATTAGAAAACTTGAGTAAACAATTAAAACAGTTAGGTGAACCAATATCCGATTCAATGCTTATAACCAAAATTCTTATGACCTTGCCAGAAAATTATAAATATTTTTATAGTGCATGGGATTCTATATCATCTGAGAACAAAACATTGTTAAACTTGACATCCCGACTTATGGTAGAGGAAACAAGACAAAGTAATGGCCATGAAATCCAGAAAAATAATGGTGAAAATAGTGCATTTGCGGCGAAAAAATTGTTTAGAACGCAAAAACAAAAATATTCAAAATTTGGAAATCAACAAAATAATGATAGAAAACCAGGAATTTGCAATTTTTGTAAGAAACCAGGTCATTGGAAACGTGATTGCTGGATTTTGAAGAAAGAACAAGACGGAAAGAATAAAAACGAATCAAATTCTAGTAATGCACTAATAGGCGTTAATTCAATGGTGAGCAAAATTAGCGATTTTGATAAATGGTATGTGGACTCCGGTGCAAGTGATCACATGACCAGTAGAAGAGAGTGGTTCAGAACTTATGAGTCGTTCAAGATTCAGTTGCCAGTACGTATTGGTGATGGTAAATATATTATGGCTATTGGTAAAGGTAATATATATGTTCAAGCAAAAATTGGCGAAAAATGGGTTGACAGTTATTTGTCAAATGTTTTACATGTACCTGAACTCAAAGTAAATTTGTTTTCATGTGGAGCGTGCCTTGATAAAGGTATAATAATGATAACAGACAAAAATGTTTGTACATTTAAAAGAGGAAATAGTACAGTTGCTGTTGGAATTCGTGAGAATAAATTGTTTTCGATGATTTTTAAAACAAGGATTTCGCAAGAGATAGATCAAGTGAATATTGCTGAAAAAATTCTTACATTACAACAGTGGCATGAAAAACTAGGTCATCAGAATGTTCAATATGTTAGAAATTACCTAAAGCATTTGGGTATTCAATTCACAGATATGGAAAACAAATTTTTCTGTGAAGCTTGCATTTATGGTAAACAACACAGAGAACCATTTACACTGAGCAGTACCAAAACAACAAAACCAGGTCAGATAATTCACAGTGATGTTTGTGGACCCATGGAAGAAAATTCTCTTAGTGGTAAATGATACANAGAAAATTCTCTTGGTGGTAAAAGATACTTTGTTATATTCAAAGATGATTACTCTAAGTATACATATATATATTTTATGAAACAAAAATCAGAAGTAAAAGAGAAGTTTGAATTATTCTTAAATACAGTGAAAAATCAGTTAAATATATCAGTTCTTACTTTACGAAGTGATTGTGGTTTGGAATATAAGAATGATGAAGTCAAAGCTATTTTGAATAAATTTGATATAAAACATTAGACCAGTGTACCATATACACCACAGCAAAATGGTAAAGCGGAAAGAACAATGCGTACAATAGTAGAAGCAGCTAGAACTATGTTATACAGTAAAAATTTGTCAAAAAATCTTTGGGCTGAAGCGGTAAATACAGCTGTATATGTATTAAATCGTACGCTAAATTCAGGTAACAAAGAAAAAACGCCCTATGAATTATGGTATAATAAAAGTCCCTATATAAGTNCCTATGAATTATGGTATAATAAAAGTCCCAATATAAGTAATTTTAAAGTATTTGGTAGTGAAGTTTATGTTCATATACCAAAAGAAAAACGTAGAAAATGGGATCAAAAAGGGAGAAAAGGAATATTTGTTGGGTATTCAGAAGAAACTAAAGGATATCGCATATGCTTTGATGGAAAAGAAGTTTCATTAAGCAGAGATGTTATATTCAAAGAATTTAATGAAATAGAAATCAAAATTAGAAAAGAAGATGAAGAAATAAATTCAGAAATGGTGGTTGAAAGTTGTTGCCGCCTGGGCTGTTCTAAAAAATCCCAAATATTAATGGGGAACAGAACTTGGCCGTACGGCTTAAAATAGGGGTAACTATTAATCAACAAAAATTTCCTATAGAATTTAGAATTTGTTAAAATACAAAATATTTTTTGTTTATCCGAAATAGGATTGGTTAACTTAATAAATATAAAGAAATAATTTAAATAACAACACTAATTTTTATTGTTGATGAATTAAATAATTAATAAATATAAATACCCATATTACTTACATTCAGTTTTTAATTTTGTTTGAATACCATGAATAAAATGAACTACCATTTATAAAGGTGATATACCACCTGTAGCTTTATTGTAATAATGTTATAACCAATAAAAAATAAAACAGAATACAAATATACGAATTTACAATTATAATATGAACGATATATTTTAAAACGGAAAATTGAGCAAAGTTTTTACTGATTAATACCAAAACAACAATTACTTCAAATGAAAAAAAACAATATAACTTAAAAACTAAAATGTATAATATAACAACCGGTACACACTTCATTTTTAATAAAAAACCGACCGAACAACACGGTAATAAGCTGATAAGGCGTCTTAACAGGTGATAGCGCACAAGCACTACCACCTGTTACACCCAATCAGTGCAGCTCTCACACTCGGCGCGAACATGCACCCCCCTTTGAAAGGTCGCAGAGACTTTCAAACTAAAATACATAAAATAACAAAGTATGAATTTATCTAAAAAACTATAAATAGTTAACATTGAACATTTAAATTGGTAATATAACAACTAAAATTTATACAACAATGAACTCATAACATCTTTCAGTTTCTAATAACAAATATTGAAAAAAAATTACATGGCTCATATAAATTTCTAAGTTTAAATCACATATATAGGAACTGAAGTAATTTATGACTAACAGTGGAAAATAATTATTCAAAAAAAAAACATATAAAATAATTAATGAACTAAATAAGTAAAATTTACATCGAAAACACATAAAAATACAAATAATACATGTTAATTACACTAATTATGAATGATATTAATAATACGAATACATTGATTATTTCAAATACAAATTAATTAATTACTATAACACATTCAAAATTCAATTGATTTTTTTTTTACAACATTATAAAAATACTACATATATTAGGCCATATCACAATACTAGGCAACTAATTAATGGGATAACAATATTATAGGGGGTTATTTTCATCCAGTTCATTATCTTCAGCAGTAGGTAAAAAAGCAAGTTTTACCACAGGACGTTTAAACTCTGCTCCGCCAGAATTTCTCACAGTAACGGCACGGACAATTCCATCGGTTCCTGGATGAACAGTAGTTACTCGAACCAACGGCCATTGGTAAGGCGGTACAGTGTCATTCTTTAAAATTGCCAAATCACCAATGATAACATTCCGCTTCATTTTGATCCATTTGCCTTGGCGCTGAAGTTGAGGCAGATACTCACCAACCCATCTTTTCCAAAAGGTTTGAAATAAAGACTGCATGAGTTTAAACCTTTTTAACCGATTTTACGGAACAGAGGAAACATCTGGTTCTGCTGGAAGTAACAAGGAACCACCAACCAGGAAATGAGCAGGTGTGAGAACGTTGAAATCTGAAGGATCAGTGGAGTTTGGGCAAAGAGGCCTGGAATTTAATACAGCCTCTATTTCACATAATAACGTAACGGTTTCATCGTACTTCAACATTACTCCCTTAGTTACCTTCAGCAAATGACGTTTTGCAGATTGCACTGCCGCCTCCCAAAGGCCACCAAAGTGCGGCGCAGAAGGGGGTATGAAGTGCCACGTGATATTAAGGTTTAACAAAAAATCACTCAATTTTTTACATTTTTGTAAAGCTAGAAATTGGTTTTGTAATATTCGGTTAGCCCCAACAAAACCAGTCCCGTTGTCACTGAATAAGTCTGAGCATTGTCCCCGTCGTGCAATGAAGCGATTAAATACTGCTAAAAAATCTTCTGTTGCCAAAGTAGAAGTAAGTTCTAAATGTATTGCTCGGGTGCACATACACACAAATACACACATATAACATTTAATTGGGGTCACCTATCTCAATCCACTTTTAACCATAATAGGACCGCAAAAGTCCACTCCGGTGCGAGTAAACGGCCGTGCAAAAGTGACTCGCTCACGAGGAAGAGCTGCCATAAAAGGGGAGCTGAACCGCGGCTTGGACTGGAAACATTGAATACATTTCCAAACAACTTTTCTAGCAATAATCCTTCCACGAATAGGCCAATACATATTATTCATATGCGTAAGTAATGCCTGAGGGCCAACATGCATCAAACGCCGATGTTCATGTTCGAAAAGCAACCGTGTTACCACTGAGGTAGAAGGTAAAACAATCGGATGTTTAGCATGGTATGATAGAGAAGAATTCTCAAGTCTTCCTCCTACCCGAATGAGGCCATCGCCGTCAATGAATGGATTTAGTGATTTGAGGCAGCTGCGAACAAAAGTGAAGAAAATAACATTAATGATGAGAATAATGTTGAAAGAAAACAAAATATGGATGAACTTGATCAATCAGCAGATCAGACTCATGAGCAATTAAAAATGAGACTTAGAGATAGACAAAATATAGAAAAACCAGTAAGGTATAGAACAGAAACATTTTATTCAATGTGTGATAATCCAGTTACATATGAAGAAGCTATGACACAAGAAAATTCAGAAGATTGGAAAGAAGCAATGGATGAAGAAATGTTGTCATTAAAAAAGAATGAAACCTGGAAATTAGTAAATATACCAACAAATAAAAAAGTACTTAACAATGGCTGGGTATATCGAACCAAACTCAAGAAAAATGGAGAAGTTGATAGATTTAAAGCCAGACTAGTTATAAAAGGCACAAGTGCATGGAATTGATTTTCAAGAAACTTTTAGTCCAGTTGTAAAGTATGACTCTATACGAGTACTGCTAGCAATAGCAGCAGCCAGAAAATTAAAACTCAGACAATTTGATATTAAAACAGCCTTTTTATATGGTGATCTTGAAGAAGAGATTTACATGAACCAGCCAAAAGGTTATGAAGATGGAACTAAACAAGTTTGCAAACTTCAACGAAGCTTGTATGGATTAAAACAAGCACCCAGGTGCTGGAATACAAAATTTAAAAATTTGTTGTTAAAATTTGATCTAAAAGAAACAAAGGCAGATCCCTGTGTATTTGTAAGTAATAAAAATGAACAATTAATGATTGTAGCTATTTTTGTAGATGATGGGATTATAGCAGCAACAAATGATGAGCAGGTGGACATGATGGTGAAGTACCTGATGAGCAACTTTGAGACAAAATCAGGTGAACTTAATCATTTTCTGGGTATTGAAATTTATCAGAGATCAGATGGTTTATAATATTTATACATCAGTCATTATACTGTCAACGCGTTTTGGAGAGATTCAATATGGCTGAATCCAACGCCCTATGCATTCCTGCAGATCCACAACACTCATTAGATGCAAATTTATCTGAATAATTACAAGCAGGGGAAGTTCCATACAGAGAATCAGTAGGAAGTTTGTTATATCTAAGTCAGATCACAAGGCCTGATATAACATTTGCTGTAAATCTTGTCAGTCGCTATTTAAAAAAGCCTCTGATAATACATTGGAATGCGGTGAAACGAATTTAAAATATTTAAAAGGAACCTATAACTATGGTTTATTTTTTCATTCTAGGGTAAAACTTAAGTTACATGGTTATAGTGATGCAGACTATGCTGGTGATACAACAACAAGGCGATCAACATCAGGATACATTTTCATGATGACTAATGGAATAGTAGCATGGTGTTCACAAAGGCAAAAATCAGTAGCACTCTCAACTACTGAGGCTGAATACATGGCACTGAGTCAAGCAGTCCAGGAATTAACTTGGTTGACGCTACTAACAAGTGATCTTCTGGAAACACAGGGAGAGACACCTGTTTTGTACGCGGACAATCAAAGTGCCATAAAATTGGTGAAGAATCCAGAATTCCATAAACGAACTAAACATATAGATGTTCGTTATCATTATATTCGTGAGAAATTCAATGAAGGGATGTTTTCACTGGAGTATGTGACCAGCAAAGAGTAGTTAGCTGACATCTTGACCAAGCCNGCAAAGAGCAGTTAGCTGACATCTTGACCAAGCCAACACCACGAACAAGATTTCAAGAACTCAGAGAAATGTTAGGAATTAGATATATAGATTTATAATTTTTTTAATCAACTATGAACGGGTGTATTGTTTAAGGGGAAGTGTTGATATTATTAAACAACACACTGGGTACAGTAATATTATTTAAGATAACAGTTTAATGTATTTTTACTTATGTTAGTATAGTACAAGGTCAAAGGGACACATTCCTTTTACGATTATGTTGTTTTACTCAATGCAGCCTATTGTATACATGTTTACAGTTTAGTCGTAGTTTCACCGTCTATCGAGTAAAGTGACCCATTGCCGTTGTACGTCTCTTATATTATATGTTTTAACATTTTATATTAAATACTATTATATTACGAATAATTTCTAAATCTTTTAATTACATAACCTATTCCATTCAACAATATTGTATGTAAATTTATTTATAGTTTAGTCTATTAGTTGTAGCTACATTTGTACTTGGGGACGCCCATTATATTTGTTGATATATATTAGTTATATTTATTATAAAACGGAACAAAATACCATATTTTTATTTTTATAATATATGCAAATAGGAATTGTACGAATATCAATCTCTTTTATTATATTTGGGTATACATTTGTTTAATTCATTTCTTTTTTCTGTGTTGATTATTACCATATCAGTCATACGGGCCAACCGTTATTATAGGAGCCCGTTGGCTAACATGTTGACTGATATATTTATTTAGTTAAACTTAAACCATGTTGTCATATCAAAGGTAATATATTTGTAATGATTGTCATTATCTAGTTGTAACACATTTCTTATATTTATGTCATTTTTATATTTATCGTTGTTGTATTTAATTTTATTGAGCATTGTTGAAATGCTATTTTAAAGTAGGCGGTGTGTACGGGCGCGGCTTATCAAAGAAATTTGATAGTATTAAATAGTATTAAGAGACCAGCCAATGTTTTTTTTTCTGATAAATAACCAGATTCTGTTTAACTTATATACATGTATCGTTTTAATACAATCCACTACTTAAAAAAACATAAATGTTGAGTTCGTTATTAAACAAATAATAATCGTGAGAATGAATCACGTTTCCAAGGCTTAACATCTTTGATTACTTTAAATCTTAAGTAAAAATATAATTTTTTTGTTTTTCAGTGGTTATTAAATTTAGATTTAATTTAACATAAGTTAAAATAACATCACAATATATTATAATTTTTTTTTTACAATTATTTTAAGAAAAAGGTGCCCATTTTTTATCGTGTTTATTTAAAAGTTGATTTGTTACAATTTATAAACTAAAAAATGCTCGTTTTACATTTTATTAAATAAAAAAACGGTAGCACAGTGGGGTCGCGGCATAGTGGAGACATTGCATAGTTGGGTCCAGTATAGATTTAATCTGACAGTGATTAAAATCACTATCATAAGAAACGCTTCGATGCAAATCTGTAGATAGTGTTTAATTTTAAAAAATTGATGGATAATTGCAAAAGCAACATCAACTTCTATTAAAATAAAATACAAAACCCATAATTTTCATACAAAAATAGCATATTTTTGAATATGGTAGCCATTTGCGTATAGAAGATAGATCGTCGGAACACATTTTTTTTTTTCATTTTGTAGTACATAAAATAAGCTTTAATTTTATATATGTTTAAAGGACGCAGTATTTCCGGAACATTTTCAAAAGTTCAGTTGAAAAAGATCTATGTTTTTTACAATATTTTAATTTTTGAACGCCCCCTATATAAGGGGAAATTGTCCATTTTTAATAAAAAGTATGTCAAATGAAAGATGTACTCATAATGTATTTAGAAAAAAAAAATTTGCTGATATATACATTTTTCAAAAAGTTATAGCATTTTTAAGTTGAAAATTTAAAATCTAAAATTTTAATACAAAAATAGTGTTTTTTTAACTATGGCAGCCGTTTAAATGTAGAAAAAAAAGTGTCGGGACAAATTTTTTTTTTTCATTTTGTAGTACATAAAATAAGCTTTAATTTTATATATGTTTAAAGGACGCAGTATTTCCGGAACATTTTCAAAAATTAAGTTGAAAAAGTTATTTTTTGTAAAAAAGTTACTATTTTAAATCCTCCCAGTGAGCAGAATAAGTGTTAGATTTTCAAAAAAAATTATATCAAATGAAAGGGAAATATCTAAGGTTTCAATACAAAAAAATATTATTTTTATTTGTTCATTTTTGAAAAAGTTATGGCAGTTTTAAGTACAAAAAACATCCCGATAAAATGTAATTTTTATCGCAAACATTACATTTTTTTTTAAATTTTCGACAGCCATTTGCACATAGAAGATAAGATGTCGGGACAAATTTTTTTTTTTCATTTGATAGTATATAACATAACCTTTGATTTGATATATGTTTAAAGGACGCAGTATTTCCGGAACATTTTCAAAAGTTCAGTTGAAAAAGATCTATGTTTTTTACAATATTTTAAGTTTTGAACGCCCCCTATATAAGGGGAAATTGTCCAATTTTAATAAAAAGTATGTCAAATGAAAGATGTACTTATAATGTATTTAGAAAAAAAAAATTTGTGCTGATATATACATTTTTCAAAAAGTTATAGCATTTTTAAGTTGAAAATTTAAAATCGAAAATCGAAAATTTTAACACAAAAATAGTGTTTTTTTAACTACGGCAGCCGTTTAAATGTAGAAAAAAAAGTGTCGGGACAAATTTTTTTTTTTCATTTTGTAGTACATAAAATAAGCTTTAATTTGATATATGTTTAAAGGACGCAGTATTTCCGGAACATTTTCAAAAATTAAGTTGAAAAAATTAATTTTTGTAAAAAAGTTGCCATTTTAAATCCTCTCCAATGAGCAGGTTAAGTGATAGATTTTCAAAAAAATGATATCAAATGAAAGGTAAATATCTAAGGTTTTAGTATAAAAAAAAATTATGTTGATTTGTTGATTTTTCAAAAAGTTATGGAAGTTTTAAGAAAAAAAAGTGAAAAAATTTCGAAAATTAGCGATTTTTAAATTTGTAATTTTTTTGGATATTTCCCCCATTTGCGGGGAACGAGGGAATTTTTTTCAATTTTTAAGGGTAATGTCTTCAACTAGATACGATTTGTGATCTTTTGACGTATTTTTGAAAGAAATCGGTCCAGTGAGAGCTGAGAAAAAGTGGCAACAGACATAAAAAAAAAAAAAAAAGCACATCATAGTAAAATTAATACCTTCTCCGCTTCGCATCGAAGCTAAAATACATAATTAATGTATTGAGTTTCCTTTCAATAGTGTATCTGGCAACTAAATTTCAAAACGATAAATAAAATCAATTTAATTAGGTAATATCTATTTGACCATGAACATAACAGCCAAGGTAGCATTCATTTTAGCTTCAATGCGATGCTGAGAAGGTATTAATTTTACCATGATGTGTTTATTTTTTTTTTTTTTTTTTTTTTTTTTTTATGTCTGTTGCCACTTTTTCTCAGCTCTCACTGGACCGATTTCTTTCAAAAATACGTCAAAAGATCACAAATCGTATCTAGTTGAAGACATTACCCTTAAAAATTGAAAAAAGTTCCCTTGTTCCCCGCAAATGGGGGAAATATCCAAAAAAATTACAAATTTCAAAATCGGTAAAATCTGTCATTTTTTTCACTTTTTTTCTTAAAACTTCCATAACTTTTTGAAAAATCAACAAATCAACATAAATTTTTTTTATACTAAAACCATAGATATTTATCTTTCATCTGATATCATTTTTTTGAAAATCTATCACTTAACCTGCTCATTGGAGAGGATTTAAAATAGCAAATTTTTTACAAAAATTAACTTTTTCAACTGAATTTTTGAAAATGNAGCAACTTTTTTACAAAAATTAACTTTTTCAACTGAATTTTTGAAAATGTTCCGGAAATACTGCGTCCTTTAAACATATATCAAATTAAAGCTTATTTTATGTGCAATAAAATGAAAAAAAAAATTTGTCCCGACACTTTATATTCTGCATGTAAACGGCTGCCGTAGTTAAAAAAACGCTATTTTTGCGTTAAAATTTTCGATTTTTAATTTTCAACTTAAAAATGCTATAACTTTTTGAAAAATGTATGTATCAACATAATTTTTTTTTAAACTAAAACCTTAGATAATTTTCTTTCATTTGATATAATTTTTTTGAAAATTTAACACTTAGCCTGCTCATGGAGGGGGATTTAAAATTGCAACTTTTTTACAAAAACTAACTTTTTCAACTGAACTTTTGAAAATGTTCCGGAAATACTGCGTCCTTTAAACATATATCAAATTAAAGAATATTTTATGTACTATAAAATGAAAAAAAAAAATTTGTCCCGACGACCTATCTTCTATGCGCAAATGGCAACCGTATTCAAAAAATATGCAATTTTTTTTTTTAATTTTGGGTTTTGTATTTTATTTTATTTTAAAATATCTTATTAGGGGAATACACTGACTTTCATGAATATTATATAATATCATTGACATAGAATAAAGTTCCTAAGACATATGAAATTATACTTATTAAAATTTTTTTACTTTTTTATAGTCAAAAAAGTAATTTTTAAATTTGAGTTAGCTTAAATAACCAATTTTATTATGCAACAAAAAGCAACGAACAGTTGCCGAATGGGTAACATTATCCTTCTGTGACTACCAAAATTTTGCATTTTTTTTTTTGAGTTAAAATAGAATTTTCAAATCATTTGATATTTATCTCATTTAGATTCAATAACTTCAATAAATATAAAGAATCTTATCACTACGGTCTCCCCTCGTGAGAAGATATTTATATTCATGTTAATATTATTTTACTAAGTGGTTCTTTTTGTGGCTACGATTTATTTTGCCAACCCTCACTAGACCTACTTTTTTCAACGATACGTCAAATGATTCATTTAAGTTAATGATTAATTTAAGTTATTACTCTTAAAAATCGA